CTACCTACCTACCTACCTACCTACCTACCTACCTACCTACCTACCTATCTATCTATCTATCTATCTATCTATCTATCTATCTATCTATCTATCTATCTATCTATCTATCTATCTATCTATCTATCTAACCAGGAAGGTCTTTTGAGAAGCTGTTCTCCTCTTTTATAGACTTCATCTAGTTTGGCATTTGAGACCTACACTGTTCACAGTGTTTCGTCTTTAGACTTCAGAAACCTAGAGGTGCACGAAAGCTCCCCAAATTAAGTGAAGCCCCAGGAAACCCCAGCGGCAGGAAAGAGCACATGGTTTTGAAAGCCCCAATTGATTTCAATGCTCTCCAAGCACCTCGTGCTCTGAAAACCGTAGCTCGGGTGTTCGATATTGGGCAATGCAAGGAGAGGAATCCGTTGCCCAACTCGAACCAGGCTCTCTAAGCATCTGAGTTGACTGATAACCCTGTCTTTTCCTCCTCTAGCGCTGCCACTCACCATGGCAAATAAAGACCACCAGCTCCACATCCACTCCCTGGGCCAAACCTTGAACTGTCTCTATCAGAATAATCTGCGTGTCAACTGCCACCCTCTGCCAAAGAGCTCCACAAACCTAGAGGGCATCAGGCAAGGGACTTTTGAAGAAGGTCATAGCCACACACGGGACCTCCCCAAAAGCCTCAGCGGTTCTGTTTGCCAAGCCCAGGAGAAGGGGACCACCGCTGGAAGAATTCTTAGCAGCTTCTCCCCACAAGACAGCGCGCAACGTCCCACCAGAAACAGCGGCCATTTCTTCAGCGTCGACCAGTCCCCGACATCTGGAGAAGGGATGATGTATCCTAGAACCTACCTCCGGGGCAGTCCTGTTGAGAAGTCAACTCCAGCCTCTGGTGCCAACCTCCAACACCAGTGGACAATGGAGGGTCCTGGAGTTGCAGTCCGTAGAAGCCTCTCTGACTTCTCCTGTAGCTGCAAGCAACCGAGTCCCACCTTCCACATGGAGTCAAGTGCCACATCCCCTGCCATATGTTCACACAGTGGTAACTTTGCTTTGGCCGACAGACTGAGAATCGCAGGCCTGAGATATGGAGCGGACCCTTATGAAAAAAGCCCAGATTTGCAAAGCCATAGGATGGTCCCTGCCAATGTCTTTCACCAAGGTGCCACATCACCCAATGTTGCTATTTTTACAGACTCCGGAGCGTATCACACAAATGTTCTTGGTCCAAGCACTCCCAGTTTCTCCAGTAGGACAATGCATGCCCACAGTGGAATAGGACATACTAGCAACTTTTCAACCGGCGGGTGCCCACCTGGAATGGTGACCATTCCTAATGGCATTCCTCGGCCCTACAACCGATGCCACGTGTCTTCTGCGAAGGAAGAGGGCACCGTTGCCGCCTACTGCCATTCCTTACCGATACCTTCTCTTCAGTTTACCCCAAGGCTGGTGTGCTCAGTTAATGAACTGGGCGAAGAACAAGTCAACCCGGAGGGCTGTTCATCTTTGCTCGCTACTGAAGTCTCCTCCATGAATGGGTCAGGTCTGGAAGCCAACCACAATCTAGGATGCTGTTGGGCCCACGGGGAGCGTGTGCTGCACTCTCAGCCTTACGGACGAGCAAGCAAGGCTCAAGAGGAAATGAAGACCATGTACGTGGTGTGGAACAGCCACCAAGATGGGGTTCAGACAGTCATGAAGACCAAAGACACCTGGACCATGACGTCCATGAATGATCTCACCCAGGGATTCCAGTCTCCGCTGGACTACAGGGACGCAGAAGTACAGACGTTCCCAGCAAAGGAATGCAGGTCCGTGGCAACCAGCCCATCTGTTCTGGCAGAAGGCCACCTTCATGTGTTCCCAGAGGTTAATCTGAAACCAGAGGCTGAGGCCGAGAAGTCTCCCGTGCGAGACGTCAGGTGGGACGACGAAGGCATGACCTGGGAAGTCTACGGGGCAGGGGTTGACCCCGAGGAGCTTGGACTGGCCATTCAGAAGCACTTGGAGTTCCAGATAGAGCAGTTCCAGATGGAACCGGAGGAGCTGTCTGCAAAAGATTCTGAGAAACTGCCCACCAAGGAGGAGAAAAGGATCTCCTTTGGCATGGTGATGCATTGTCTGAGAAACCCGGCCTGCTGCACACGGTCCAACATGGCAGTGGAGTGAACTCCGCGCAAAGACCGTCGTTCCCAAGCTGCCAATGAATGTCGATTCTTTAAGCGGGGGTCAAGAATACCCCAAGAGTGAAGCTTCAGGGAGGCCTCTTGATGCCCTGGACCTTTACAGCCCTACTTGTATAGAACAGGCTTCCAAAGAAAGAGGGGGAAGGAACCATCACCACCGCCAGTAGCATCATCACCACCACCTCCTTCTCTGCAGCCTCTCTTGAGGCAAGGATGATCTGCATCAGGAGCACCACCACCCATACTACGTGTTCCTTCTCTACTCTCTAAAAGTGGAGAGAGATGGGATGGGGCTTGCTGGTGGTCAGCCTCATCGTGCTCTCTTGAGACCCTTAATGGGTCTCCTGCAGCAGTGGCAGGGAAGGAACGCCAGATGACCATCCTTCTTGGCTTCTCCTACCTCAGTTGCTCTACCATGAGGTCTTTCTCACCCCTGCTCCCTTTTGCCTGGAGGCCCACAAAGATCCATTGTTTCTTCTGTGCAATGCAGGATGTCCACTTGGAACTGAGCTGGCCACGACAGGAATGTCCTCTACCCACCAGAGATGCTACGGAATACTTTCTCAAAGGACAACCTGGCCCTAGGGCCAGGGGTAGGCAATCTTGAGCTCTTTTATGACTCGTGGACTTCAACTCCCAGAATTCCTGAGCCAGCATGGCTCAGCTTGGAAACCTCTCCCTTTCCCTTCAGCGTGGCTGGCTCAGGAATTCTGGGAGTTGAAGTCCACGAGTCGTAAAGGAGCCATAGTTCCCCCACGCTGGCTCAGGAATTCTGGGAATTGAAGTCCACAAGTCCTAAAGGAACCATAGTTCCCCCACGCTGGCTCAGGAATTCTGGGAGTTGAAGTCCACAAGTCCTAAAAGAGCCAAGGTTGCCTACCCCGGCCCTAGGCACTACGGAGGAAGCAAACTCTTCATTTCACCCTGCAGACAGTACATAATCTTACTTGTGGAATAATCTTGGCGCATTTGATGGGGAAGATCATTCCACTGATACACACTTTTCCTCAGCTTTGTAAGGATTTCTGCTCCTACAACCTACCGGGCTAGCTTCCTTCATTTTTTGGTTTTCATTTTCCTTCGTTTTTGGCTTTCTGGAAAGACTGAAACGCCCATCTCAAATCTGGATTAGCAGCCTAGAGTCTTCACATACTTCTTATTGTATCATGTTTGTGGTGTATGTCAATGTAAACCTGGGTTCTAAACAGCAAATATATATATATATCTTTGCCTCCAGAAGCAGACCAGGAGGTTTCATGCAGAATATTATTGCCTTCTCTTTTTCTACCTGCACCTTGTCATCTTGAGTAGCGGGGAATTCTGCTCTCAGAAACCAGGAATGTGACATTATTCCTCCTTCTCTGAATCAAAAACTGCGTAGTTTCCCTTTCACATTTGATCTTTGGGGGGAAATGGAGCCTAAGATCTCTTTTGTTAACTAAGTGAACGACTGACAACTGTTTAAGTGTATCACAATCTCCTCTCTATGGTTATTAGAATCTCTTCCTCCTGTTGATGTGTGTGTGTGTATTTCTACATGGACTGTGGCCTAGATTTTGTACTGTCTCAATGTTGTTCATATCGCTGAAACACTAGAGTGGATGCCGTTTTATACTTTTCATACCAATGCAAATCACGTGTAAGCAATGTATTAAATAGGCAGAGGAACACATTCTTACAGACTTATGCAGAATAACAGAGTTGGAAGGGATCTTGGAGGTCATCTAGTCCAACCTCCTGCTCAGGCAGGAAACCCTATACCATTTCAGACAAATGGCTGTCCTGTCTCTTCTTAAAAACTTCCAGTGTTGGAGCATCCACCGCTTCTGGAGGCAGGTTGTTCCACTGGTTAATTGTTCTAGCTGTCAGGAAGTTCCTCCTTAATTCTAGGTTGCTTCTCTCCTTGCTTAGTTTCCATCCGTTGCTTCTTGTCCTCCCGTAGATCAACCCCCCTCTTCTCTATGGAATTAAGAGGATCCATTTTCTAAATGTCTTTTTTTCCCTTCCAAATGGAAGAAGTTTAAGTCCCTGTATGGCATGACATTTTGAAAGAAGGCATGACATTTTGAAAGAAGGCTCCTTGCAATTTTCTTTGGTCCATGAGGACTAACACCCTTGAGGATAGCATTGCTTAGCGACACGGTTAAGCAAGGAACAAACAAACAGAGTTCGCAGAGGCCTGAATTCACTTTACAATGAACGCTTCACCTTAAGTTAACCTCCACCTGTTCTGTGATATAGCTACGTCTGCTTCCGGGCATAAAATGTAATTATCCCGTTGAATTGACATCTACAAAGCAGGCTGCCATTGTTGAGGAAGGACGAACAGATAATGAATTCAATCTCTGGCAAATTAAGATTGAGTCAGTAAAACAGATGCTTGCTTCTCCTCCACTATGAGTTCTGTCCTGTTGCAACAGCTTATCTTCAAGGGATGTTCCCCTTTGGGTGTCTGTAGGGGGGATAGGTAGGGTCACATGCACCATGATGTCACTGGACAGCCGGCGTCATTGGCGTGATGACACGGTGATGGCTATGATTACGGGGAGTTGAGGCAGTTGTCTCTGTAGTCCAAGAGAGAGATCTTGACCTGAAGGCATTGGATAAGAGGTCCATACAAAGGCTAGAACAGTGTTTCTCAAACTTGGCCACTTGAAGGTGTGTGAACTTCAACTCCCAGAGTTGGAGATGTATGGACTTCAATTCCCAGAGTTGGAGATGTATGGACTTCAACTCCCAGAGCTGGAGATGTATGGACTTCAACTTCCAGAAATGCTGGCTGGGGAATTCTGGGAGTTGAAGTCCATTCATCTCCCAACTGCCAAGGTTGAGAAACGCTGAGCTAGAGATGAGTCTTATGGAGTCTAGTGGTGGGAAAGGGCTACGTCCGCATTGTTGAAGCCAAGCGATCATTTCACCTTCTCCAACAGGATGAGGGGCAGGGCTTCTGTGTGGGGCAGGAGGGAATAAGAACGTCTGTGGAGGTTCCCAGTCCTCCAGGTCATGGTTGTCCCAAAGGTGCTTTGTTCAGGAGGCAACTGGACTTCCTTGCGTTTCTTTTGAAGACATTTCACTTCTCATCCAAGAAGCTTCTTCAGCTCTGACTGGATGGTGGGAGATGGAAGGATTTATACTCCTCGTAGACAGCTGGTCATTTGCCTCTCTTTAGAGCAGACATGTCAAACACAAGGCCCGGGGGCCGGATGCGGCCCGCGAAGTGGTTTCATGTGGCCCGCGAAGCCATCCTGGAAACAGTGAGGGAACGGCCCCCGCTGCCTTGGCCCTGGCCCAGGCCGGCCGGGAGCCAATGTACAATTTTTGTGGTGGCCATCTATGCTGAAACGCATTCAGTCTTAGCTCCACAAGGCCGTCTGGAAACAGCGAGGAACCAGCCCCTGCCGCGTCAGCCCCTCCCCCTGGGTGCATGCTGGGGAGGTGTCACCCTTTGTGAGGAATGAAGACATGGACCATGCCTTGGCGCTTACCCTGATCCCACCCTTTTCTGCCAGAGACCCTCAGATCTGTCCCACTCCTGCCCAGGCCCCCACAGATGCCCTTGACGCGAATGATGTAGAGTTGGCCATGCCCACCCTGTCCACACCCACCCGGCCCCGCCGAGGGCAACTGCAATGCTGATGCGGCCCTCAGTGAAATTGAGTTTGACACCCCTGCTTTAGAGAGCCCTTGAGGCCATTTTGGAAGTTTACCTGTGTCCTCAGGGTGACCTGAGTAGTGCAAATGGGTGTGGAGGCTTCTTGGCTGCAGGATGTTTCCTGCCCTGGGACCCTTCATACTCCCGCACCCTTTGGAGGGTGTTCATCCCAAAGTGCATCGCTAAATGTCTATGGAGATTCTCACTCATCCAGGTCACGGTTATCCCAAAGGTGCTTTTTTCAGGAGGCAACTGGACTTTCTTGTGTTTCTCTGGAAGGTTGTCTGCAAGCAATATAAATCCTTCCACTCCCCACCATGTAGTCAGAGCTGAAGAAGCTTCTAGGATGTGAAGTGAAACATCTTCAAAAGAAACACAAGAAAGTCCAGTTGCCTCCTGGAAAAAGCATCTTCGGGTCATGTCTTGTCAATTAACCCAGAGGTTCCCCAACCTTTTGGGCACCAGGGACCGGTTCCGTGGAGAGAGGTTTTTCCACGGACCAGAGAGTGCGTGGTTTTGTGTGCTGCCTGCATCCCGCGGATGGGGCTTTGCTTGTTTGTGCGAACCGGTTGCTGGCATGCCGCGGCCCGGTACTGGTCCACGGACCGGAGGTTGGGAACCCCTGCCTTAGAATAATCAGAAACCACAGTACTGATTTTGATCATTATGCAGTCTGAGAACTGCATAGAGGTGATTTGGGTACTCTCCAATGATGGTGTCTCTCGTTGCCCGTCCTTGTGCAAGCCCCTCCTACTTTCACCCCTTCCTTCATCTAGTCTGGCCATGATCCCAACGGTGGGTTTTCCTGGCCTGGCTCAGCCAACGTTGTTCTGGTTTGTCTGCTATTTACAAAACCAAAGAATATTTTAGCAAAGGACACTTCTGCCGGACAGCTGCTATTTGAAATGAGGTCCAGAATATTTCCCCTCTTCCAACCTGGATGAAGCTACAGGACTTTACTGGGAGTGGAGTTTGAGCACATATTCTGCTCCATGAACCTAAAGAGCTTCATGATCCTAAAGAGATCCTGAGACCTTCAGTAGAACATGAGCTGTCACCAGGATCGTTATCAAAGGCTCAGATTAATTTCAGAGTTTTGAGAAGTTGCAGGACAAGTTTACGAGGTCGAGTGAAAGTCACCCAGTTGGAAATTTGGATTATATTATTATATTATATTATATTATATTATATTATATTATATTATATTATATTATATTATATTATATTATATTATATTATATTATATTATATTATATTATATTATATTATATTATATTATATTATATTATTATATTATATTATATTATATTATATTATATTATATTATATTA